GGGGCCTTGTTGAATTAAGTGGCCCTGCAGGGCCTGATGGAACCAATGAGACCCCATAGAGCCAAGGGTCCATTGTGACCTTGTGGTACCAAGGTGTCCTGGGTTGACCCAGGCCAAATGCCAGGCATCCATGTGGGCTGCTCACTCACTCCCCTCTGCAGCTGGACAAAGAGAATTTAATAAAGGGTTCATGGGTTGAGATAAGGACTGGGCAAGATCACTCATCAAATACTGTCCTGGGAAAACAGGCTTAGCTTAGAGATGTGAAATTCATTTATTACTAACAAGGTCAGAGCAGCAAAAGGGGAAATAAAATAAGCCCCTCACCTCTCTCCAGCTCTGCCTCCCACCCCAGCAGTGCAGGGAGACAGGGAATGGGGGTTATGGTCAGTTCATCACCCATGGCTTATGCCCCTGCTCAGGGAGAGGAGTGGTTCCCCTGCTGCACCGTGGGTCCCTCCCCAGGGAGACAGTTCTGCAGGAGCTTCTCCAAGGTCAGTCCATTTCAGGGACAACCGCCCTCTGCAAACTGCTGCAATGTGAGTCCATGCCAGGGACAACAGTCCTTCCCAAACTGCTGCAGCATGGGTCACTCTTCCAGGGGGTGCATTCCTCCAGGGACAGGCTGCTCCAGCCTGGGACCAGCGCCCCTCTCTCCATGGCTCTCATGCAAGGTGCCTGGGTCTCCAGGGCCTGGAGCACCTCCTGCCCCTCCTTCTGCACTGACCTTGATGTCTGCAGAATTGTTCTTCTCACATGTTCTCCCTCTGCTCTCCTCTGACTGGAGTTAAAACTGCGCCACAATCTCTATTTTGATTTCTTTTTAAATCTGATATCACAGAGGCATTACCACCATTTGTAACTGGCCCAGCCTTTGCCAGCAGCAGGTCCATCTTTGAAGCCACCAGGAATTGACTGTGCCAGACACGGTGGAAGCTTCCAGCAGCTTCTCACAGGAGCCATCCCTGTGCCCCCCTGTGAAATACAGAGCTGTGTTTGTGTCAGGTACATACAGGCAATGTGTGTATTTGTGATTGCGATATGTGTGGAAACTGACTATGGGGCAGGTATAAAGACGAATTCTAATAATAACAACTGAGGAAAGTAAAGCATGGAAGAAGACCTTTGAACCTATCTCTTGTTCATAATTAACCTTTATAAGTGTTAAGTTGATTTAGGAGCATTGGAATTAAAGCGTTAAGGATGTTGCTCTTTGGCAGGAACTTTCTGCTGGTAGCTAAGCCTTAAAGAGTTTTGCAGTAATAACCTTTTGAAGTATAATTTGAGAATACTGCTTGTAGTAAGGATCTTTGAAACTATAGCTTTAGAATATATAAAAGGAAACATGCTTATCTCACACCTTAACAAAACTGTGAAAAGCAGCATGAGAAAGGAAGATGAACATCAACTCAAGGATTTATGGTTTCGACCAAGGGTAGCTGGACATTACTGTTATGAGATTTATAGTCCTTGCAATTAAAAAGTGGACCCACATCTGGAATCTGGACCTCACCATCTGGGAGATTTCTTCCTTCTTTCAGAAAGCGAACCACCACCATCTGGGGATACTCCTTTCTGGGATACATCCTGAGAAAAATTAATTCACAATAGGTATGGAATTGGGATGTAAAAATTGGGAATAGAAGCTGCTGATGAGTAAAAATTTGGAATAGAAACTGCTGAGAAAGCTGATGAGTACCCCTATAAATACCTGTAAGCCTCAACTATCGGTGTGCAGTTGGAGGGAAAACTTCCCCTACTGTATCCAGCACTGTATTGCTCATGCTTTACCATATTAATTAATAAATTGATTGCTGCTTGAATATTGGCCTAGTCAAGCTTCTCATTTATAACAGTGCTCAGTGGCTGCTCGAGAGGTCTCTGTACCTCATGCACTGGGAATGCTTGGGAGGGGCTGGAGGGGTTGTCCCTGTCCCTGTCACCCCAGGCCATTGCCAGGGGGTCTCCCTCCCTCTCACCCCTGTGCCAGGGGGTGCTCGGGACAATCTCTGTCCCTCTCAGCCCAGGGGATGCTCGGGGGGTCTCCATCCCTCTGGCCTCAGGCAATGCCTGTGCAGGGCTGGGGACCAGGGGCTCTGTGTCCCTCTCACCCCTGAGGGTGCTCGGGCTGGGGGGGCTCTCTGACCTTCTCACACCTGAGTGAAGGTGCAAATGAGACCATGGGAACGCAACCTGAGGATCTGCTCGAACTTGGATTGTACTGAACAAGAAATGGAAAGGAGTGAGGGAGAGAAATACATCAGAAATGTTCTCAGAGAGAAAGAAATATGAAAAGGCTCCGGCCCCAACTCCGCGGCTCCCGGGGACACCCGCAGGGCGCAGCGCCTTTCACAATTCCAGCCAATCAGAAGAGGCGCTAACCAAGTTCCAGCCAACCAGAGCTTTTCTCGCCGATGACTCACCGGTTGCCAGGCGGATCCGCAGAGCCCAGCGGCCCCGGAGCGGAATCTGGGGCTCGGGCCGGGGGGACGGATCCGCCCCGGGGGGGTCCCCGAGCCTCCTGCCCAGCCCTGGGGCCGATCGGGGGCTCCCCCACCCAGCAGCCGGTGCTGCGGGGCCGCGGGGCAGAGCGGTGGGAAAGGGCGGTCCGGGCTGGCAGCGGAGGAAATGCGGGAGGAAGAGGAGGGACAGGAGGAGCAGGAGCGGGAGCGGGAGAATCGCGGCGCTCGCAGCGCCCGCACGCCGAGCCTGCAGCAGCCCCTGCCCCGGCAGCATCGCCCCCAGCCCCGAGCCGCAGGTGAGGGCGGAGGCCGAGCTCGCCCCGGCTCCAGCCAGGCGTCTCCGGGAGGATTTTTTTGGAGAGTGTTCGGAGCCGGCAGATCCCGGACTCGAGCCCCGGATATCTCCGGGCTCCCTAAGAGGAGCTTTTTCGGGGAGAGAGGAGCCGCGATCGCCCCTCGGGAGGGTCCCGGGGGGTCCACGTGGGGATGGCCCGGTACCGACGGGGCGGGACATTGGTTTTGGGGATCCCCGTGAGAGCCGGGGCTGTGGAACGGGGGACCCCCGGGGCGGGGAGAGGGGAAGGGGCGATACCGGAGCTGGGGGACCCCCGGCAGCCCGGAGATGAGGCGGGGACGGGACCCCCTGACCCTGACAGGGGCGTGTCCTGGGGTGACTTCATGATGCTCGTACCCCATCGGTCTGTTTAGCCCAGAAATGAGTTCTGCACCTTTCAGGCCGGTTCTGAGAGAGGAGGGGAGGAGGAAGAGCAGTAGTTTGTTTTCATACACTGCCCTCACTCCTCCACATTCCGGCTCCTGGACTGTTGTGATGCCTTAAGGAGCTGGAACAGAGACCAGATGGAGCTAAGAGGAATAAAGTTGATTTTTATTGAAGTGCCTTCAAAGGCCACACCCTGGCAGCACAGGAGCCACAGCTGTGGCTCTGCCTGGATGGCTCCAAGATGGGAGCAAAAGAGGGCTTGGTCATGAGATCTCACATTTAAACAAGTTTTAGTCCATTTGTATATAGAAGTTAACTGCTCAATTAATAGTTTCAAATTATGAAGTTACATCTTCCTTGCTTGCATGCCTGCCGTCCTCTTTTCATGTTTATGCTTTGGGCCTGAAGTTTTAAGAGATTGTCCTTGAGTCTCCAGCTAGAACAGGATTGTTTTGTCTTCACCACCCCGTGAAAAGATCCCAGTAACACTTAAGATAAAGCTAAAAGCTGCACATCAAAACAGAACGGAAAAATTTAAAACCTAAGGTATCGGTTGTCTGCAGACAGACAGACAGCAGGACAGAGCTCTCCTTTGCTTTTAGTTAGTTTTAGCTCGCTGAGGCAGAGAAGTTCCCCCAACTGTGGTTTTTCTTTTTCGTTGGAGCTGTTTAAAGCTGCTCTGCACTGAACACCCAGAACACCACTGGCAGCTCCCACCTGTGGCCCACCAGGCTGAGCCTGGGCCGCGGCAGTTCCAGTGCTGGAGGGGCCGTTAACAGACTGATAAGAGACTGATGAGAGACTGAGTGAGCCGAGCTACAGCCCACGGAGGGACTTTCTGAGTTTGTCATCTCTTTTGGAGCGGCAAGAGGTTTTATTTTTTAATATTGTTCATTTTTTGTACTGGTGAATGCTTTGCCTGTTAAATAAACAAGTTTTTCCCCTTTTCCCCATGAAAATATTTTCTCGATCTGGTTGGGGGAGGGGCCACTTGAATCTGCTTTCTAGAGGAAACGCTTTTGGAGATTTTCTCCCAAATTTGCCCTAAACCAGGACAGGGTGGTGGGAAGAGGGGAGAGCCCCTAGTGACAGGACTGGGGTGAGGCTGGAGAAGGGGACCCCAAAACCCCCCAGCATCCCTAAGCAGGACCCTGGAGAGGGGAGATCCCCAGTGCCCATGGGATCTCCAGCAGCCCTGAGATGGGAGACCACCAGAAGCCCAGAGACTGGAAATGGGAAAATCCTGGTGGCTTTTTTTGATTCACTCTTGATTTCTGAAGGATTTTATGGACACCAGATGACTTCTAGTGATGGACTTGGGTGGGAGGAATCCCCAACCCAAGGCATTCACACCTTGTTTTTCCCCAAACCAGGATTTCCCATTCCCAAACCTTGGCAATATGGAGGAGGAGAAGGCTTGGAGGAAGAGGAAGATGCCCCGGGACACCCAGGCAGGTGAGGAGGAAGTCAGTGCCCCTTTCCCCCTCTCTCCAGCTCTATCTCCCAGCCCAGAACAGCCCCCAGCTGCAGGACAACCCTGCTGCCAAGCCCGTCCTGCTGGGGATGCACTTGGGGGATCTCCTTCCCCTTTTGGGTGGCAGGGAGGCAAATCCCATCCTCTCCTTGTCCTTTCCCCAGGGAAGGAGCTGAGGATGGAGACCAGGGAGGACAAATCCCCACAGCAGAACCTCATGGAAGTGGCTGTTATGAGTGACTCCACAGTGCAGGAACCCAATGGGGAGGAAAAGCCCCGGCAATCCCGCACACGGAGGGGCTGCAAACCCAGCCCAGGGTGCTCTGAGGAGGAAAGACCCACCCTGAGCCAGGAAGGTGGACAGAGCTTCAGCCAGAGCTCAGAGCTGGTGGCCCATGGGCAGCTTCATGCCAGCGAGAGGCCCTATGAGTGCTTGGAGTGTGGGAAGAGCTTCAGGAAGAGATTCAACCTGATCTGCCACCAGAGGATCCACACTGGGGAACGGCCCTACGAGTGCTTGGAATGTGGGATGAACTTCAGCCACAGGTCCGACCTGGTTGTCCACCAGAGGTTCCACACCGGGGAGAGGCCCTACAAGTGTCCCAAGTGTCAGAAGAGGTTTCACACCAGCACCCACCTCCTTGTACATGAGCGCATTCACACCGAGGAGAGGCCCTTCTGCTGCCCCGACTGCGGGATGGGCTTCAGGCACAGATCCACCCTCGTCACCCACCGGCGCATCCACACTGGGGAGAGGCCCTACGAGTGTCCCCAGTGTGGGAAGAGCTTCTCAGACCGCTCGTTCTTTACCCGACACCAGCGGAGGCACCGGTAAGGGCAGCCCTGTGAGTGCCCCAGCTGCAGGGGGAGCTTCATGCACTGCTCCAGCTTCATCCCCCATGGGAGGACCCACGTTGGTCAGAGCCCTGGCGATCCACATTCCTGGTGATCTGCATTGGGGAGGCAGCTGGACATTCTTTTGTTTTGACCCTAATTTTGTTTGGATTCATCTTCATCCCTTTAAATCTTCATCTTCATCCCTTTTCCCCTCAGAGAAAATTGGGGTAAAACTCAATAAATTCATCAACAGCATCTAAAGCCTCACTTTTTACTTGTGTTTCAGGGCAATCTGGGATTCAGGGAGATAATTGGGAGAATTTGGGGGTATTTGATGTACTTGTTTCCCTTTCTTGGCACTGAAAGAGACAACAGGGTTCAATCTGTCACCTCAATGCCACTGAAAACTACTCAATCTCACCCCAAAATTCCTGGATTCCACAGCTCTTTGGTGTGGAATGGGGTTGGAAGGGGATTGAGCAAAGTGGCCTTCAAATCAGGAGGCTTGCCATGGGCATTAGGGGTGGGATGGGGTTTGGGAGGTGGGAAATGGGGGAAATATGGCTTGGGAAGGGGGCGTTGATGTCCAGGAGTGGTGGGATGGGTTGGGGTTGGGACTGGGGAGGTGGGCTGGGGTCTGGAATGAGACAGCCAAAGTTGGGGATGATGAAGGGAGGGAGAGCCCATTACTGAATGAGTTCTTGAATAATCCACATTCCTGAAGAGATTTTGGAGTATCTCATGTTTCTGAGGCAGTTTTGGGGCACTCCCCAGCTCTTGGGGGTTTCCTGAGAGCAGCTCCATGGAGCCCCATTGCCAGGGGTGGTTGCCTTGAGCACGAGCTCAGAGCTGTAGCCAGAGTCCGTTGCCTCGGTGCTGGAGAGCAGAGAAATGGTGAATGACCTCAGACATCTCCAGTGTGTGTTTGGGGGCAGGGACAGTTCTGCATAGGTGGGGTGGTCACTGCCCCACCCCAGCCACTGCAGCCTCTGGGGCAGCCCCAAAGTGGCTGCCAAGCCCCTGGCACCCCAAAAACCCCACCTGGGAGAGGGATCAGAGCAGGTCAGGCTGTGACACGGGTGTGACACTGACACATCCCATGGCCCCAGAGCTCACAGCAGCTGAGATCCAAGACTGACTGTGGATCTCTCTCTCCCTCTCTCTCTTCTCCTGACTTCCTCTTCTCAAAATCTGGTTAACTTGCAATTGGACAGGTTAGAGTTTGCTAAGTCAGTGCTTTATGAAGTGATTTACTGTAATTCCATGTTGCTTCAGATTTCCCAAGTACCTCATTCTCTGAAGTTTGCAACTAAAAGTTTGTTCTCCACCCTCCTGAGCAGTTTGTTGTTTTCTCCCCCTGGCCATCTGTCCTGCAGGCTGTGCCCCCTGTGTGTGCTGCTCCTCTGCCCTGGCCGGCTGCACTCGCCCATCTTGCTGTGCCCCAGCATTTCTCACCCAGCGTTTCTGTGCCCTCCCTGGGCTCCCTGCACCCAGAGCTGCCGGCTCCTGGCACACAGAGCCAGGGCAGGAGCCCACCCTGCCAAGGGGCTCTGGTGCAGGGCAGGGGCTGCGATGGCTTCTGAGCTCAGCAGCTGCTCCTGGCATGGTTCCATGGAGACCGAGCACAGCAACGCTGCTGAGCATTGTCCCTGCTGAGGGTCACACACTGCCGGGGCACATTCCCTGCCTGCAGCATTGCTGAGCATTGTCCCTGCTGAGGGTCACACACTGCCCGGGCACATTCCCTGCCTGCAGGATTGCTGAGCATTGTCCCTGCTGAGGGTCACACACTGCCGGGGCACATTCCCTGCCTGCAGGATTGCTGAGCATTGTCCCTGCTGAGGGTCACACACTGCCGGGGCACATTCCCTGCTTGCAGGATTCGGGCCTGACCCAAGTACTGCACTGATGGCTCCAGCATTGCTTTCCAACAAAAACAGGGGAAGGCAAACTGTGTGCAGCTCATGGTATTTTAGAGTGTCTAAAACTTGCCAAGTCATCGATCTTAGAGGTGAGATCCATTCGGAAATCATGACATGGAGTAGAGCAAGATGGAAAAGGGGAGCATAGAAATAAATAGAGGAAAACATTTCAGATGGTTTCTTTCCATTTTCATTTCACTTCTGGAAAGCTGATTCAGTTTTCCAGGAATGTTCTCCACAGTCCTGTCTGCTCTTTTCAAGAACATTTCCTGGAGAATGAGGTTGAGCTCCTGTCACAAGATGTGCCACCACCTGCAGCTTCTCTTGGCTTTTCGCACTGTGCCTGCAGCAGGACTCTTGCAGCAAAGCAGGACAAAGGTTTAGAGAACTTGACAGCTTGTCCTTTCTTTTCCTGGTGGACTGGGGAGTTGTGCCATTGGTGAGGTTTTCATTGTGGCTGTTCCAGTCTTGGAAAACAGGAGGGGGGTACCAGGACTTGTGGGGAATGCAACCCTGCCTGAATTCAGAGAAAGAATCTTCAGAAGCTGCAGCCAGAAATGGAGAGTTGTGTGGTAATCACATCATTCACACATCTCCACAGACACCTGGAAAGTGATCTAGAACATGAAAATTGGTTGTCAGAAAATTGGTTGTCAGTTTGTTTCTGTTTTCAGTTTAGATGATTCTACATCTCTTGTGCTGGTATAAATCAAGAGCACAATCAGTTCATGATAAGCAGCAGAAGAAGCTGCATCTCCCAGAGTAGAAGACTGAAAGAATATGAAAAGGAGAAATGCAGGGAATGACTTGGTGAACCTTGTCTGTAAGAAGGGTAATTTTTTCTAAGAATTTCTAATCAATTCCCTCTGCTTTTCTCCTTCTTAATAAGGCCATTTCCATCCCAGACTCACCATGATATGAGAAGCCTGATCTTGAAGTGCATGAAAGATGCCCTGTTCCTCTGCAGGGACAGTCAGTGTGGAACAGGAAGCAGTTTTGAAATAATTGTGTGATAGATGAGTAATGCGGTAATTGAGTCTCACAATTAAAAGGCAGATGTTATGGATATGTTAAGACAAGTTTTATAGATTTATAGTTATGTTTTACACCCCCTTGTGTTGTTGTCACAGGGTTACCTGGTAGTTGGGGTATTTGGGAGGGTTGGTTTGTTACTATGGCAACACCTGACTGCCAATCAAGATGTAAGGAAGTGACCTCTGCCACTGGACAGCAAAGAAAGAGTTGATTAACAAGATTTTGAGAGGGGCTAAAGGGTTAAAAGGTGAAACATCCATTGTGTGGGCAAGCACATGGTGGGAAAAAATCCTTTGCTCCCTGTCGGAGAATGACTTAAAGAAAAGGCCATGAGACATACAATTGAGAGAAAAGTATAGGGGAAAAGTAAAGCAGTTTCTAACAGTTCTCAGCCTTCTGATTTGTATAAACAATTAGACTCTCTCAGGCATCATTTTATAAACAATGGAGTTCTCAGATTGTCTTCCCATAATAAGCAGAACACCGTCTCTGGGAAGGCCTGCCATCCTGAGAACAGATGTAGAAGTTTTGGGAACACTGGTTTCTGTTTTAGTTTCTGGTTTCTGTTTTGGTTTCTGTTTTTAATAAACAATTGTAGGTATTCTAAAACAAAGGGAGTGGTTAGAAATTTCTCTGTTAGCCTATCATGACATTGGATTACAGAATATTCATGGCGTTCGTTAGCACTGTTATTTAAGGTGATTGATTGATCAATAAAGTTGGAGTTCGATGCATTACCAGGATGGTCGTTCTCCCCTTCACTTCAATATATGGTGACCTCCGACTGTGATAGCGAACACCACGGGGAAGCGAACGCCACGCGAAGTGAAGCCAGGTTCGGGTTCCGTAAGATCGAAACTGCAGCTGGGACGGCGAAGAAGCGCGGAAGACAAAGCGGAGGGTAACCCGCCGGCCCGCGCCGCGCTGCGAGCAACTATACAGATAGGCTCGTCCGAGACATGCGGCCGCGACCTTGATTTGAAGAGCTGCAACGTGCGCACATAGGTATGGAAAGGCAAGCTGCATATGAACTTTTTATTACCCTTTTGCAAAAACGGCAAATTAAGGGAATAGATTTACAGAAAGAATTACCGGGCCTTTTAGTTTATGGCCTAGAAAGGGGGATCTTTATAAATCCTCATATAGTTCACGGATTGTTGGAGTGGCGTAGATTTGGTGATTTATTGTGGCAGGCTACGTTAGATGATGATAAAACTGCTAAGAAGTGGGGTAAATTATGGCGGGTCGTTAACACCGAACTGTTGCGGATTCAAGCTGAAAAAAGGGCTGCTCACCAGGCTACTGCCGCTTACGATCGTAACAAAGAATGCGATCAAGATAGGGAATTTGATAAGAACGCGGGAATTCCTCTTGGCCCCGCGACGCGGACAGTTTTATTACCTGCTTCACCGCCTCTCTCGGAAAGCCAGGCTATGAGTCATACTATGAGCCAGGCGCAGTCCGCCTTGCTGCCCGCCTCGCAGCCCCCCTTAACGGGCCAGGCTACAAGCCCGGCTACGAGCCAGCCTACAAACCAGGCTACGCAGACTGCTTTAGTACCCGCTTCGCAGCCCCCCCTAACGAGCCAAGCTCCGCGGGGTGCCTTGTTGTCTGCTTTGCCGCAGGCTACACAGAGCACCTCTGACTCTCCCGTACCTGCTGCGTCTCAGCAGCTGGGGCCAGATACGTGTACTCCGTTCCCGACAAGCAATCAGCCGGTCCCTGGGTCTGAAAACGACTTGGTGGCGGCGATTGCGAGGGAAAGACGGGACGCGTGGGCTGCCCTGGCCAAAGATGCAATTGACAGGGGAGATCAAGAGCTGATAAGTTCGGCTCGAGAACTGGCTTGTCCGGTTGTCTTTAACCCCCAGCCTGGAGGAGGTTTTCAAGCCACAATTAGCGCTCTTGACTGGAAGCTGTTATCTCAGTTGCGAGCTACTGTTAGTCAGTTTGGCTTTAAGAGTGAACCAGCTAAGCAAATGCTCGATTATATTTTTGACACCAGTATCCTTCTTGTTAATGATTGTCGTGGGATAGTTAAATTAATTTTTACTCAACATCAACAATTACTGTTTAACGCCCACTGGCAAGCTTTAGCTAATGAATGTGTGGCAGTTCTAAGGCAGCCGGGGGACCCCTTGCATGGTATCACTATTAATGAGCTTATGGGGCTGGGACCTTTTCTTCGTACTGATGCACAAGTTTTAATAGGTCCGGAAAGGTGCCGGGAGGCAATGCGGTTAGTCAGACTCGCGATAGATAAGGTAAAGGAACCAGGAGGGGTACCAGTGTATATGGGAATTAAGCAAGGCAAAGATGAGACATTTGAAGCTTTTGTGGTAGATGCATTTAAACAGATAGGAATAGGTTTGCAAGAACAGGCAAGGTCCTCTCAGAGTCAGGTGTTAGCCGCTTTTGCACCTCTTCAAACGTCCGCTGCGTTTGCAACATCAAATAAAGAGGGCCGCACGAAATGCTGTCCATGCGAAGGCAAGGGCCGCTTGCGCCGGGAATGCCAAGCACCAACAGAAGTCATCGCTGCATCATCGGTGCTCTTTCCTGCCCCTAACCCGACACCACAGGGAGCCACCGCGGGCGAAGCTGAACTGCCGCGAAGGGAGTGACCCGCAGCGCAAAGCAGAGATGAATTGGCAAAAGGACTTAACAGGACTTTGGACTTATAGTTACGGTAAAGGGATTTTCCATATGGTTTACGGATTAACGGAAATGTGTGAATTCGGTGATTTATGGTAGAATTGCAGTGCTGTGCTACTCCGAACTCGGCACGGGTGCGCCGGAGGCAGCGGCGGGAAGATCAAAAGCCGCCGCCGCGGGAGCGGAGCCGCCGCCGCAGAAACCAAGCCGCGCCACCACGAGAGCCGCGCCGGAAGTGATCAAAGAGCGCCGCGGGGGAAGCGACCGGAGCCACATCGCCCTCATGTGTGAACTGGGGGCCAGATGTCCACGGGCAGCCAGTTGCTGCTTGGGAACAGTGACTGGACATCAGAGAGCAGGTGATGGAGGAGCAATCATGCTGTGCATTGATAGTTTTCGTCCTGCACACTCCTTAGCGGATTCCGACTTCAGAGTGCTTTTTCGAGCGGGAGCGCTTCTCCCTCCGCCCCGTAGCCGGCAGGAGCTACAGTTTGAGATCTAACAGCCGTAATAACTGTGACTCTTGTCAACAAAAGAAAAGATTCCTATTGCAATTAAAAGACTAGTGAAACTAAACAAGCGACACCAAGGACTGTTGCTGTCAGGATGTTTTTCACCTAAGTTAGAGAGATCTTTTGTTCTCCCCAGCACAGACTGTAAAGCAGATCAACGTAAATGAACGCAGGAGTCAAAATTTCGGCCGATTTGGCTCGGCATTGGTTATGCTGTCTTGGAAACACCTGTATTACCAGAGACTTTGAACATCAGAAGCCCGGATGGCTGGGCCGGTGGAACATTAGACTTTAAAGCTGTGTTTTGAAAAACTTAAAAATGTTGAGATGTGTTGGATTGATTGTATGAGTGAGATGTAATGAGTGTGTTTTTTGTATTCTTTAAGCTTTGTTTAGATGTGATAGATGTAAAAGCAAACACTGAATTCAAAAGAATTTTTTCACAGGTGCACCTTAAATGAATTGTGTTTAAGTGTATTTAAGTATAAAAATGCTATAGCAAACAAGTGAAGAAAGTTATTTTAGCTTAATATTTTAGAATCAGGCCTGTAAGTAAGTTATAGTAAATGCTATATATTATTCCTATAGTAAGTTTTATTTGCTATTAAGTAGTTTAAGTTAAGTTATCAATTAAGTGCCATTAAATGTTAAGGTTAAAATTGTTGAGCTTGTTTTCGGTTGGGTTCGAGGTCTTCTAAGTTTAAATTATATATAGGTTTGAGTTGTGTGAGATTTAAAGAAAATTAAATTTTGTTAAGTATTATTAAGTAAGTTAAGTTAGATTCTGTTAAGTTTGAATTAGATTTAAGTGATTTTACATGATTTGCAAATAAGTCTGTTAAGTTAAATATTTTAAGTGCCTTAAATGCATACTATCTTTTCACCACTCCAAATTAACAAAGGACTGAGAATCGCCCAGCTGATGCCATTTGAGCCAAATGACTAAAGGATTACAAACTGAAAACTGACTTTGAACATTTCTGGGAAGCTCATGAAAAAAGGTGGATGTGATAACTTCAAGGACAGAAAGAATCATTTTCAGGCTTGTTTACGTCTCTCCAGGTTGCATGAATGAAAACAGTTAACAGCTTTCTTTTCTTAGTCCAATTACCACCTGTTGTGCAATGCCTGATAAGGCCTTAACACGC